TTTTTTTTTTTTTACCTCCCCCTCACTTAACTCATGTCCATATAGTCAAAAGACTAACCTAAGGAACTGGTCATCTCAAGTTTTTTCAATATAGCCATTGATTTTGGGTGCCCTATAACTAAAGATAAAATGGAAGCACTCAGCATATCCATACAGTGAATGCAATTTTTCGTGGTGTAGCATCTTCTAGAGTAACTTATTTCAAATAACAACCACTAACATAAATGACAGCAAATCTGATCTCTGATCTAAGTTAAACACCAATTTCGGTTTATGATAATGATTCTGCAAGGTGCAGGTTAACAGGGAATACCCATACCATTTAAGCTGGATATAAATCTGAGAGCTCTCAAATTTTGCTTCTTAAAAAGTCTGCTACACTGTGACAGCTTGATTAAATGGCACTCTCCTCTACCCTTCCTTTCTTCCGCTGCTATTAGACTAAAATACCTGTATAAATGTTTATAATAATACAGCTTCTTCCATCATATGAATTGAAACAAATACATGAGTATAAAGTGCAAAGACTGCATGAGGGTTTAAAACAATAATGCCAGAAAACAAACAAAAGTAAAAACACATCAAGTGAGTGTACCGGTAAGATACTCTTAAAAGTAGATCAGTCCTTATCAGCAAAGAACAGGTTTAGACTTTCTTTTCTAGCTGTAGTCAATAGACAACACTGCTCTTTATCTAACCAAAGTACAAGAAAAACTTCACAGCAGTAAAGCAATTAATAACTGACTTCAAACATGAGTAAACCATATTAACAAAGTTCAGGCAAATTCAATTTTACATTTAATCCAGACTAATTCATCTGACTCTCATTACCATTAGCAAATTACCATATAAAGATTTTGCTCACATAAAGCTAAGTTAGTTCCTTTAGACTATGAAGGAAAACCATCCATCATAAGAAAGGGGACTGTGGACTTAATAAAGCCTATTTTGCTAAAAGGGAACATTAAAATGTGCTTGCTGCAACATGTATTTCTCCGTGTAGGAGAGAAAATTGTCACATTGCAGAGCTCAGTTTCCATCTTTGTAAGCAGACTGATAGTTAATCTGATTCATTTTGTCCTATTCTGGGCTTCATATCTGTTTTCATCCTCATGCTTCAGTATTGCTGGAATGAGAACAGCTGTGAATGGGCACGTTACTATCAGCACGTTCTTTAGAGGATCTGTACATGGTAGCAGCCTAAATAAGTCTGCTCCTATTATGAAGAAAGGAAAAACTACAATTTCATATATCCTCTGTTGGTATTTAGCATCTTATTTTCAGCAACATTTTCCATTATCTGCCTCTGAATTCCATCTTCTTCATTCCACTAAAATGTATTCAAAGGGAATGTAAGCTGTAGTTGAAGTTACATTAGGTAATTGCTTTTTCTCCCCCCCCC